TGTTGATATTAAAAATAATTGCATTACCATTAATGTTATTTAATTGGCATTTTATTAACGTTAAAAATAATAACAATAAAAAGGCCGTAAAAATGTAAAAGTCATGGCTTTGATTCCCAGGGAATGAATAAAAGCATACGCCAATGCATAAATAAATAATTATCATGTTCACATTTTTAAATGATATATTTTTTGAATGGTTTATTCTGTCTAACGGGGCAATAAATGACAGGATTCTCATCAGTAATCCATATTAATAAAAGTTCATGTTTTTGTACTGTAAGCTGCAGATTTTGATTGGTTTATGATGACAATCAAGTTTTTCTTTCCAGGAAACAGCAGGAATATGAAAGACATTGGTGTGAATGTGGAGCAGCTCTGATTAAACCATATTCAACAGCAATCCTGTCTGTCTGCTTCCATCCTTAAAGAGGATCAGAGCTCAATCACGTGTGTGAGGACACGAGACGCCTGAGTCCATGCACACTGTGATTCTACTCACTGAGTACTGACCTGCAGCAGAGCACAGTCACGCCATCAGAGAGCACACACACACACACACACACACACACACACACAGACACACTCACAGAAACACACACTCACTCACTCACAGACACACACACATTGTCACTCACTCACTCACACAGACACACACTAACTCACAGACACACACACACTCATTCACTCACAGACACACACACACTCATTCACTCACACACACACACTCACAGACACACACACACTGTCACTCACTCACTCACACAGACACACTCTCACACACACACACACTCACACACACACACACACAACACACACACACACACACACAGACACACTCACAGAAACACACACTCACTCACTCACAGACACACACACATTGTCACTCACTCACTCACACAGACACACACTAACTCACAGACACACACACACTCATTCACTCACAGACACACACACACTCATTCACTCACACACACACACTCACAGACACACACACACTGTCACTCACTCACTCACACAGACACACTCTCACACACACACACACTCACAGACACACACACACACACTCACAGACACACACACACACTCACTCACACACACAGACACACTCACACAGACACACACTCACTGTCACTCACACACACGCTCACAGACAGACACACACACTCACTCACAGACACACACTCACTCACAGACACACA